TTCACATTGTGTAGTTAGATTATTTTCGCTTGAGCTTTGGACTCCTCAGCAGCCCATTGGTGTTGATAGCATAACAAAGGCCTTGTTATGATACTATCTTTACTACCTCAGCATTGCTTGGTTTGCCTTCTCTGTACTTTCCTGCTTCAAAGATGGTCCTTCAGAAAAGTGGATGAAGAAAAAACTGCCTTTTACCTAGCAGGGGTTTTTTTTTGACACATTCCTTTTTTTTTCAACAAGGTCTTACTCTGTCACCCAGGGTGGAGGGCAGTGGCACAATCTTGGCTCACTGCAACCTCTGCTTCCTGGGTTCCAGTGATTCTCCTGCCTCAGCCTCCCAAGTAGCTGGGATTGCAGGCATGTACCACCACGCCCAGCTAATTTTTGTATTTTTAGTAGAGACAGGGTTTTGCCATGTTGGTCTCAAACTCCTGGCCTCAAGTGATCCACCCACCCTGGCCTCCTAAAGTGCTGGGATTACAGGCATGAACCACAGCACCTAGCTGTTTTTTGTTTTTGTTTTGTTGATACATTCTTAAACAATGCTTACTTCAGAAACATCTTCAGATTCTCCTGGGCAAGCAGTCTCTCCTATTCCAAAGGAAAAACCCACCCATTGGATAGGAAGGCTTCTAGGAGTATCTATCTAGTGGCAAGCCACTGCTATATCTGAAGAGGACCTAAAGCACCCTGGATGGCTATAACTGTATGGTGTCCTATATTACATTACACATCCTGATTCCCCAAGCACCCTGGGGAATCCCTGTGATCAAAAAGGGAAACGGGTTACACTCTGCCTTTTTAGGGAGATGTCCACAGAAATAAAGGAATGGACATTATAGGATCTAGTCCCTGTCTTTATATTTCTTCCTTTATCCACATACTTACCTTTATAAACAACTTGGTTAAAAGGTGGCCGATAATAACTATACCTCGTGTGGTAGCATTGTAAAGTTTAATTAATGTTTCTAAGGTATGAGTTGAACTCATAAGATGAAAGATCCTAAATATGAAATATGTGTTAAGTGCCCAGTCTGGTTGAGTCTGATAATGGCTATAATTGTATGGTGTCCTACATTACACATCTTGATTATTGCGTTCAACCTTAAAAATGTATTTTAATGTTGAGAATGTGTTTAATTGGTTGGCAAACATTTGGGTGTATAGAATATATGCTTATGTTCTTCAGCTAGCCTCAATTAGTTGGTTCTTGATGTAAAAGATATTTTACAAATCAACTTGGTAGGTTTTTGTTTTTGTTTTTGTTTTTTGAGACAGAGTCTTGCCCTGTTGCCCAGGCAGGAGTGCAGTGGCACAATTTCAGCTCACTGCAACCTCCACCTCCCGAGTTCAAGTGATTCTCCTGCCTTAGCCTCCCAAGTGGCTGGGATTACAGGCACTCTCCACCACCCCTGGATAATTTTTGTATTTTTAGTAAAGATGGCGTTTTGCCATGTTGGCCAGGCTGGTCTTGAACCCCTGACCTCGGGTGATCCACTCGCATCAGCCTCCCAAAGTGTTGGGATTACAGGCCTGAGCCACTGCACCTAGCCTTTTTTTTTCTTTTTGTAATAAGGTCTCACTATATCACCCAGGCTGGAGTACAGTGGTGTGATCTTGGCTCACTGCAACCTCCGCCTCCCGGGTTCAAGCAATTCTCCTGCCTCAGCCTCCTGAGTAGCTGGGATTAGAGGCGCACATTACCAGACCTGGCTAATTTCTGTATTTTTAGTAGAGACGGGGTTTCGCCATGTTGGTCAGGCTGGCCTTGAATGCCTGACCTTGTGATCCTACCACCTTGGCCTCCCATAGTGCTGGGATTACAGGCATGAGCCACTGCACCTGGCTTGGATCTGTGCTTTTTAAAACCAAACTATAACTCAGAAGACTGAAGGGCTTAGATAACCATGAGAGATTGAGAACTATTATTACTAGAATGTAGTTAAATATTAACAGGACTTAGCTATCATGTAGGTTAGTAGAACAGTTTATCTTTGTATGGCAAAAGCAGCTTTCTCTTATGTCCATTCCCTTTCAGTTGCACTAATATTTGTATTTTTTAAATGGCTACCACTTCACATAGCGTCCTAAAGAATTTAACTACATGAATTAGAACAACCTTGTTCATTAAATCCTGAAAATGAGCCAGTTAATCCTCCCTTATAAAGACACAGCATGATTTTATTCACATTCAATTCAATAAGCATTTACCCTGCATTTACAGTTGTTCAGCGTTTTGTAAAATATGAGACATGATAAAGGAAAGCTCAATGTTTTAATGCATCGTTCCTGGCCTTACGAGTTTACTGTTTCTATTTGGGCAGCAAGAACTATATGGTAGGCCCAGCACTTTGAGAGGCTGAGGCTGGTGGATCACTTGAGGTCAGGAGTTCGAGACCAGACTGGCCAACATGATGAAACCCTGTCACTACTAAAAGTACAAAAAAATTAGCAGGCGTGATGACACATGCCTATAGTCCTAGCTACTCAAGGAGGCTGAGGCACAAGAATCGCTTTAACTTGGGAGGCTTGGGAGGCGCAAGTTGCTATGAGCCAAGATGACACCACTGCGCTCCAGCCTGGATGACACAGCAAGATTCTGTCTTAAAAAAACAAACAAACAAAACTATGTGGTATATTCAAAACAGATAGGAGTGCTTCCGTCTGTCCCTTTTCAGTGCTTCCCCTGTCTCCCTTCTCAGGGGCCTTGGGTTCTAAGTTCCAGTAGAGCCTTGCTTTTAGCAGGCTGTCATCAAGTAGCGATGATATTGTTTGATAATGCCCAAGGTTGATTTGCATTTTAATCAGGGACTTTTCAAGACACAAAAACAAGTGGGCCTGTTTAAACAAGGTTAGAAAGTTGATTTATTTGCAGGGTTCTGATTCACCTATCACAAGCTATGCCATACAAGCTGCTTTTACTCCACTCACAATCCTGTCACTCCTGGTTTGTAAAAGCCCTGCTTGCTGGATTGTCCCCTGCTATCTATGATCGCCTACCGAGTAGACTCCAAATTTTTGGCTTGGTGTGCCAGGAACTTTTGAACCTCCTCTTCCTTACTTCCAGCCAGACATCCTACTTTCCAGCCTCACTGCACTTTCCATGCTTCTATAAACAGGCCAGGCCTTTTCACAACTCCTTGCTTTGCTCTTGTTTCCGTTTCCCAGAATGCCTTTCAACCTGTTCCCTCTTGTCCTTTTGGCAACTTCCACTTTGAGACACAGCATCAACATAATCTCTGTAGAATTCTTCCTGATTATTCCAGGTTTCCCCCAAATTTCTTGTTTTGCCTATTGTGACAGCACTTTGTATATTTATAATAGTATTGTTATGGAAATTAGCTTTGAAACTATCTTACCCTACTGGCTTCTCAAGGGCAGAGACCTTGCATTGTGCCTTACCATACATGCTCACTGAATGCTTCTGCAGTTAGCATGATCATCAACAGGTTGGCAAATTGAGTTTTATTTGACATTGTGTTACCTCCCTCTGAGAAAGCCTCAAGGTTAAGTAAAAACTCCCAACAGGGAATTTACAAGGTTTATTGTTGCTAATTTAACCAAATTTAAAGATTTTTAAAAATCAGTAATCAAATTTAAAGCGTGAGCTCATGAAACACATTGGTAGAGAACATTGACTTTTGCCGATATTGTTCTAAAATGTCTCTCCTTTGGGACAGCGTGTAAGCTAAGATTTGGCAAAAAGAGGAAGTGGGTCTTAGCTTTGTTTGGTCTATAAATTACTGAGTTAAGGACTGATGGAGTCGGGGTTAGGAGGGTCTGGGCATAGTGCTGGGTGGGTGAGGGGTTAATTACGTTCCTATTTCTTCACCTAAGAATGCACCCTCAATTTGGTCAGCCAGCTTAGAAAATGCTCGTGGTAGGAAGGTAAAAGGATTTACAGCTAAAAGAATGAGAACGGCATCAAAACTCAGGCCTGATTCAGCCTTGGGTCTCTGGTGCCTTAAGATAAAAGAGAAACAATTAATAGCGGCACCAAATCGAAAAGTCCTTTTCTTCCTATCTTAGCTCCTTTTTTTCTCCTTTCCTATGTTAACATCGTGACATTCCTCTCCAGAAACGGGCATAATGGCATGATGATGTTTTCCTCTATTTAGGGTTACTCCCCTAGCCTTGCAACCACTCCTTATTATTCTTTTATCTCTTTCAAAGTTTCCATTCTCCCGTACACTGACGTTTTATTCCGTCCCTCCCTCTCTCCTCTTCCACCACCTCCGTTTTCCCAGCTACCTCACTCCGCCCCTCGCCGTCACTACCTTCCCTCCCCCTCAGACTCCTTCCCGCTCCTTCTCCCGCCGCCCCCACCCCCTCGCCTCAGAAAGCTCCAATCAGGAGCTCCGAAGGTGTCTCGAAGGCCCGCCCCCTCCCTATCCACTTTTCTTCCCCCCCATTTCTCCCTCCCTCACCCCCCCCCACTCAAGTCCTGCGGACCTGGGGGCTTCGGGATCTGGGCGCTATGAAAAGTGTCTGCCCGGTCACTTCCGGTAAGGGCGCAGTGGCGCGAAGCTTCCCGCGGGACCGTTATGTAGGGAGTGGGAGTTCCCGGTGGGCCAGGGAAGGAAGGCGCTGACAGGAAAGGGGAGCGCGAAGAGGAGCAGAAGCAGGAGCGGACAAGCGCGAGCGTCTAGGGTGCTTCAGCCGCCCCTTTCCCGCCGCCCCCACAATGCGTGAGCTCCGCCGCCCCCCCGGGCGGCTGCAGCGCTTCCCTCACCCCCACTCCCAGAAACTGACGCCGCCCCTCCCTCAGCTCCGCGTGACCGGAAATAGCGCCATCTTTAGCCTCTTGTGCTATTGACAATAACAAGCCCCGGTTCTTTCCCCCTCCCCCTTTCCCCCAACCACTGCCTCTCGCCTCTCCCCTCCCAGAGAGAGGGAGAAAAGGAGGAGGAGCTGCAGCCTCACAGACTCGCTGAGTCGCTCCTGCAGAAAGGGGGGAGAGAGATCGAAAAGCAGGGGAGGGGGACGGCAGGGCCGTTTACCTGTCTGCCTCCTCATTCGCTCTCCCCCCTCGTTCTGCTCACTCCTGGTGTCAGCCTACCCGCCTTCCCAAACCCTCCCATTCCCCCGGTGTAGCCCCCCCTTCACTTTCCTTCTCGTCCGTCCTCTGTGTTTCTCCTCTCTTCTTTCTTCCCTTCCCCCTCTAGCATTGCCACCTTCTCTCCTACACGCACGCAGGCATATAAACGTAGGTTTTTGATGCTCCTCTGCCTGTTGACCCCGCTATTTTCATGTTTCCAACAGGTTTTTCTTCCCCCAGTCCCTCAGCTGCTGCTGCTGCTCAGGAGGTCAGATCTGCCACTGATGGTAATACCAGCACCACTCCGCCCACCTCTGCCAAGAAGAGAAAGTTAAACAGCAGCAGCAGTAGCGGCAGTAACAGTAGTAACGAGAGAGAAGACTTTGATTCCACCTCTTCCTCCTCTTCCACTCCTCCTTTACAACCCAGGGATTCGGCATCCCCTTCAACCTCGTCCTTCTGCCTGGGGGTTTCAGTGGCTGCTTCCAGCCACGTACCGATACAGAAGAAGCTGCGTTTTGAAGACACCCTGGAGTTTGTAGGGTTTGATGCGAAGATGGCTGAGGAATCCTCCTCCTCCTCCTCCTCATCTTCACCAACTGCTGCAACATCTCAGCAGCAGCAACTTAAAAATAAGAGTATATTAATCTCTTCTGTGGCTTCGGTACATCATGCAAACGGCCTAGCCAAATCTTCTACCACCGTCTCTAGCTTTGCTAACAGCAAGCCTGGCTCTGCTAAGAAGTTAGTGATCAAGAACTTTAAAGGTAACCAAGGCCAAAATCCGTAATCACCTACTAAGGATTTGACACTCGAGGGGTCACGTGCTCTATTTATGTTAATATATTAAACAGTTTGGAGGTGGCCTAATGTTTTATGCATAATCAATGAGGTGGAGGGGAGGTCCTTTTTTGGTGGAGGGTTCATTTTCCGGGGGTGGTTAGGATCCTTGTGCTGAAGCATACACCGGGTGTTTCTGTGCAGTATTTTGAGGTCTTTCTCAACCTATTGTATTTAATCTGTTATTCCTTATAACACTGACAATCAGTATGATTGATCCGGATTTTACAGGTGAGAAATTTGTATTCTAAAGAGGTTTATTTATTTCAGGTGCATAGCAAGCCTTGGCACTGCTGGGATTTTTGTTTTTATGCTTCAGTAGGCCACATTATCCAGTGCCTAGAAATGCAGGTAGCAATGGTGATGTTTTAATGCTCAAATAAGATTTATAATTAGATTTATACTGTATTCATGAAACTCATTTGGAAGCAATATTTGGAGAACAATTTATTTATGTTCTCTGCATTTCTTTCCAAAGATAGGGTTTGGAAGTGAAAAGCATTGTGTATACACAGAAGTAGTAACTCTGTGTACCACTAGTCTAAAGATAGGAACAATAACTACATCTATTTTTCCATCACTAAAATGGATTTTAAAGTATCGACCTGCAGCTTTTAGGAAAATTTGTTCAGACTGTGAGATATGTGATGGAGAGTATTATAAATACATTGATGCAAATATAGAATCAGAAATTTTTTAAAATGTATTTGAGATGAATTAATTTTTATCTGTTGATTGTGTTTCTTGTTTTTCTGACTTACTTTTCAACACCCTTAACTGCCAGGTAATCAGTGCTTACAATGTTCATTAAATAGAGAAGTAAATGAATGAACTTAAGTAATATATATGAGATAAGTGCTTTGTGGCTAAATATTAGTGTTGAGAAGATTAGGTTCTCTATGCTTGTGTTTCCAACATTGTGTGGAAATCAGGAATATGGTTTATTTTGTCTCAAGCAGATGGCTATGGTGTTGTCTATTTTTAACCCTTTCTTTTTTATATCACTACCTTCCCATACCCAGGCTCTCAGTTTCTGATTTAATCGTAGAGCTTTCTGAAGTCGATATGAATTGTAATTGACTAACATGTTCATGATTTCACTTAAAAATATATGGATTTAATAGCCAAAGGTTTTTAAAGAAATTAGTAATGATCCTGATTGCATTTGCAAATTTGTTTCAGAGATTTTTTTTTCTCTCCCTCCTAAAATAAAGGCACATTATTAAGGCATTTGGTTGGTCCAATTAAACTTTTCTTCCCCTGCTCATTGCTAGTCAATGAAGTTTAAAGCCTACAGTAAGATGTTTCTTTCTATTCTGAAAATGCAGCTATTTTCTGGAGTTATTTGGTGGTTTCAATCTTTAAAAATTTCACTCTGATCATAAATGTTAAGATGTATATATTTCTGTAGATGTTGCATAAATTTGGGGGTCAAATGGACATGAATTAGAATCCCAGCTTTGCCATTGACTAGCTATGATGACCTTGGGCAAGCTCACTAAATGAGTTCCAGCCTCAGTTTCCTCGGTTGTAAAATAGATTCCTCAGGGTATTGTTGGGAAGATTAAGAGGTTTATAAAATACTTTGCACATAGACATAATTTTAAATCTCAGGTTAAAAATTCATGTCGACTTAGGTTTTACACATGATGAAATAAGATCAGGATTGTTGTTTTTTATGGTCATTCTTGAATTTTTATTTTTTTGAAGCAATACAATCAATAGGAGAAAAACCTCACCTTCAGTTTTAATAGGTGAGTCAAAATGACTTAAACAGTATTATGGCATTTCAAATTTTATTCTTTATATTAAGCTTAAATACAGTGGTTACTTTAATGATTAGGTGTAATAGTTATATAGATCACAATTTACCCTAAAAATAGTAATACTATTGTATTTTATGGATCTTTGGTTACTATATCTGACATAGTATTCTGATACCAACCTTTTACATATCATCTAGATAAGCCTAAGTTACCAGAAAACTACACAGATGAAACCTGGCAAAAACTGAAAGAAGCAGTGGAAGCTATTCAGAATAGTACTTCAATTAAGTATAATTTAGAAGAACTCTACCAGGTATGTATTAATGTGGATAACCAGATTTGATTACCATAAATTGAGGTGGGATGTATGTGGATTTTGCTTTCCAAAATAGGTTCTTAAGTAGACTTTTGGTTCCCTTCTAATTTTAGTTTCTCCATTATTTGATGAACTCTATTATTAGACCACGTATTCTCACAGAAACTATGGGTACAGTCATACCGGTATAAGTTGTGCTTATCTTTGACCATTCTGATTAGGAATTACATTTAGGTGTACCTTGGTATAATAGAAATTCTACCTATAATGAAATCCTGTAGCATGGATCCGAAAGATGATTTCTAGTGACATGTCATTCTAGTGTGATAATTCTTTTTTTTTTTTTTTTTTTTTGAGACGGAGTCTCTCACTGTGGCCCAGGCTGGAGTGCAGTGGCGTGATCTCTGCTCACTGCAACCTCCACCTCCTGGGTTCAAGTGATTCTCCTGCTTCGGTCTCCCAAGTAGCTGGGATTGCAGATGCATGCCACCACACCTGGCTATTTTTTTTTTTTTTTGTATTTTTAGTTAGAGACGGGGTTTCATTGTGTTAGCCAGGATGGTCTCAATCTCCTGACCTCATGATCTGCCTGTCTCGGCCTCCCAAAGTGCTGGGATTATAGGAGTGAGCTACTGCACCAGGCCAATCTTTCTTAGGAAAGGCCTCAAGACATGCAGATATTATTCATATCGTTTATTTTACCTTCTTCTTAAGAGTAGACATTTCTTTTTTCTTGATCTTTATGTTTTCTTATATCCTGGGCTACAAGACACACCTTAGCCCAGAAATGAGCAGCACTTTGTAGTCCAGTAGCTTAGTTTGAGTTTTATTCTTTACTTAGCAAATGGGTTCTTACTGAAATGTTTAACTTAAATATAATGGTAAGGGCAGTTACTAAGGGCAGTCTCTTGCTACCAAGAATTTTTTCCCTACTGTATATTTGACACACAACTAATTCAATAAGTTACTTTCCGGCCTTCAGCCCCTGAGGCTCTCATCTCGGAAGGCTGTTGGCCCTAAAAAAACAAATAAATAAATAAAATTTAAAAATAAAGAAGTTACTTTCCATTAGAGTGTTAGGGATTTGGTGTTAAAAGATACTTCAGAGTACAATCGCTTGAATTTTTGTATTGATGAGTACCTTATAAGAAATGATGTTGGTTTGATTTATCAGTATTTGTTTATTTTAGTTGCAGAGCTAGTATGGTGATAGGCAAATCCTGGATTAGGAGTCAGAAGATGGGTTTGGGATCTAGTTTTGACTGCTGTTACCCTCATAATCTTGGGCAAGGTACTAAACCCCTCTCAGTTTTTTTCCTGTTTTTCTAAGAGATGGGGGTCTTGCTATGTTGCCCAGGCTGGTCCTGAACTCCTGGGCTACAGCAGTATTCTTGCCTCAACCTCCCAAGGCACTGACATTACAGGCATGAGCCAACACACTCAGCCACTCTTCTCAGTTTAAATTTCCTCCTGTTTAAAGTAGAGGAAATAATATTTGCCCTACCTCTCTCACAAGGTTGCTGATAAGCATCAAGTAAGATATTTGTGGAAAACATCTCTAGGTACTATAATCTTACAAATATAAGATGATATCACTAGTCAAACTTTTTCACAAGCCACAGTATAGCTTCTTCACTTGTTGTATATCAATTGAGATCACCAGTTTCTGTTGCTGTGAAAATTAGTCAACAACACATAGTAATAATGCCATGTAATATTATAAGCATTATAATGCTGTGTAAATGTCAGCTAGTAGTTGTAGTACTAAGCTATTAAGAATAAGCCCATTTCATTTTGCTCCTTTGGCATAGTATATATGTGGCTTCTAAGACGTACAACAATAAAAGTCAAAATATGAAACCAGCCCATATGGTCCAATATTTTTTTTATGGTGTATGTGACAGCCTGCAAAGGGGATTTATCTTACAGTATCTCATATAAGCATTTCAGAAACCCATTCTGGAGTATGTAGGGTAGTACTTATTATCCCCACTTTTTTTTTTTTTTTTTTTTTTGAGATGGAGTCTGACTCTGTCGCTCAGGCTGGAGTGCGGTGGCGTGATCTCAGGTCACTGCAACCTCCGCTGCCCAGGCTTAAGTGATCCTCTTGCCTCAGCTTCCCGAGTAGGTGGGATTACAGGTGCCTGCCACCATGCCCTGCTAATTTTTATAATTTTAGTAAGGACAGCATTTCACCATGTT